TCGTTCAATATGTAGCATGGCCATTCGGACTGCGAGTGTAGCACCCGTCGCGACCCCTAATAAATGACATTTGTCGATTTCTAGTGCGTCGAGGAAGCGAAAGATGTCTCGGACAACCTGCCACTCAGTCAGCTCAGTCGATGGGCATATAAATAAACGAAAACGTATGGTCAAGTCTTTCTGCGAGGACCGGGGCGATTTACCTTATCATAGTCGTATTTCTCGTCGTCTAATGTGGTTTGAGTACCTCCATGGTAATGGTGGTCGAGTAGGATCTGCTTCAGTCGTCAGAATCATCGGAAGGCTGAGTCCAAACACTATTTGAACTCCGACCCACCAGGTTGAACCTTTCGGCTAGCCCCTCATCAGTGTACTGAGGCGCAAAGAAGGTCTGATCGAAAAAAACAGGATGCAAGAACAGAATGATCGGTTTGGACGTGTCGAGGACACTCCCTTTGGGCGAAAAGATGTTGTAGAAGAAACGCAGATCTTTGTCAAGAGTCAAGAGTGGCATTGGTGAAGATGGCAAGGTTCGCTTCAGATATGCTGCATAGGGGATCTGTTGACGCTTTCGCAGTCGTTATATATACCATCAACAATATTGTATTGGTCCGTATATGCCGTAAATAATTTCCGGCCACCTGACCACTATCATATACAGTGCCAGTTACCGGCTATATACAAGAATGGTTAGACTAGTTTTTACAAGGTCATGGAAGCATCGTGTGTTATGTTTGCATCGTGGCAAGCAAAGCGATGAATTTTCAAACCTCGTGGCCGATTGACAAGACTAGTCGGACTCGTCCCCTACGCAATGGCGACAAGTGAATATATTTTGAGGGTCGATAGAGCGCTTGATACCGATAAGTCGGTCATAGTTGCTTCCCCAAAATGTGTGCCTCCAATTCGACTCGTTCTGTGACATGAAAGGTAAGGGGTCAGTGTCACCGTTACAACAGTAAGAGCTAGACCTCACACGTACGATATCAGCCCTATTTAGAAATAAAAATAGAAACTTGTCAGCATGTGCGGAGCCGAGCAAAAAGCATGGAGCCCTAGCAGATGTAAAACACGTACTCGTTTTGATAACAGCCAGCACCGGGGACTAAAGCAGCTAGCTTCTGTGTCTCCTCCGTCACCTGGCGCCTAATCTTGTCTCTTTCCGAGAACGTGGTATTAGTGAACCATCCAGAACTGACGATCAGGTGCTGGATCGAGTTTCGCCACGAGGGGTGAACTGCGGTGGCGTCTGGCGCGACTCGATTGACCTTGTTTCCCGCAACTGTTCATCATTCGTAAAAGGATTAGCGGATCATTCATTATTTCGTTTAGGGATATGACGAAAGGGAAAGGGGTACATACCTAGATAAAACGACGGAGAAATAGGCGTGTTGATCACGAAATCGACCAAGCCGTCTATATTGCCTTCCTCAAACAGACTAGGCGGTAAGAGCCGACTTCCAAAGACACTAGCCTGTCCAGCACCCTCGTTTACTTGGTCTGGGGGTTGATCGAACTGTTGGATGTACTTGGTCAACGTAACATTGCTGAAGGTCATGTTCAGTTGCTCGCGCTGGACATAGTCGAAGAAAGGTTTAAGGGTGGCGTTGGCTGCCATCGCATCGTTAGAGTTGTACCTGACCAATGCCGTTACGAATGTATCGGTGGAATTGGAGCTCGAGTCGTTTGAGTTGGCTTTCGACAGTGCGTAGGAACTTAATGGTGAGATGTATGGATAGGTATAACCAGAAAAGTTCTGAGCGATCAGTTCGGGCTGAAGCTGTAGATATGTCTTCAGAAGACCCCGGAATTTCGATTCCGTGTAGTTGACCGAGATAGAGAGGACGAGAGAAGGAGCGACTGGTGGATGCGTCTTGTATGTCCCCTTCGTCACCACCTATTAGAATACGATCAATTGTAATATAGGCACCAGTACGCACTCCAAAGCCTGGCCCACTGCCTCTCAAAGCCCAAAAAAGGTCCTTATTCGTATACTTATTGGCGGTGCGCATTTCACCATATGGAGTGACGATTTCAAACTGAACAGCATCTATCACACAAATTGAGCTTTCTAATCTCACTTTGAATTGAAAGGGGACTCACTATCAACACCAAGACCGTATTGAGGGCTCAGGGAAGAATGGCCTCCTCCGAGCACCCATCCACCCGCTGCACCGACCGAGTAACTAGAACCTCCAACAACGATAACGCCACGCTGGTCTGCAGCTACGTTGACATCTGTCCTTACATCAGCATCCACAAAATAAAGCGAACTTGTAAAACTCACAATACCAGTGTTCTCCTGCCGCGCTATGAACGACCCCTTGTGGGGACGTGTTGTTGGGAGCGGGTACTAAAGTGTCATTGAATTCAACTGGTCTGAATCGCAAAGGTACCATTGCCAGAAGAACGACCCAAACTACAAGAGGTACTTGGGACCAAGTACACGAATTTGTTATAAGTGTACTCACAAATCATGCGAGGCACCTTTGACTCTCGTGCTCACTTTACGTGCCTTTGCAAACTTGACAGCGGCTTGCACGTCTGCAACCGACTTGACACGGGCAACGTAAATCGGAACGAGCCCCTGGTCACAAGGTATCGTAGCATTATTATCAATATTACAGTAGCTGTTTCCGTTTCCCCAAGCTATCAGGTGACATAAGATGAGCATCGACATACCCAGCTGTGTGACCAGCTTACCAGCATCAAAATAACCACCTGGCTGTTGGGAACGCCAAAAGTCGCTGTATGAGCCGTGAGGGAGAGATAATTGCAATATAGGAATGAAAGACTGACCTTGTCCAGTTTCGTTGAGCTACTTGACATTGAGCTTG